TTTTTAAAAATTTTTTAGCATCAAACTAATAGAAACAAGAACAATACTAAACACAAACAGCAACAAATACATTTATCATTCTAGAATAACACTCTGAGATATTATTTACTTATAACAGAGTTCAAAAGAAGATGTTAATGTAATGTGACTGAAATGCAGATGGAATTACAAATAATGAAAACAGTAAGAATACATACTATTCGCTAATTTGTTACTTATTTATTTAATAATAACTTCAAAAATTAAGCACCAAATTGGTCTTACTGTTGCATTGGTTACTACAGTAAGGTTCATGCAGTATGGCCACGCCCAAGATGTTCCAGATGTTCATTCCTGCAGCTTCAGCACCAAGAAGGGACTTTGAGATTTTCAGGGACCATAGCAAGCTGCCCAACTGATTCCACACTAAGGGCCTGATGAGTCAGAAAGCAGTGTTCCGGAAGGCTGGGCTGGTGGAAGCGGTGTTTAATAAGAACAGAAAGCACGTCCAAGTTGAGTGTGTGAGCACCTGCTTGACATGAATGGGTGGGATCTGGGAGGCAAAGCTGAGATCTTGATAGTCAGGCAGTCCTTACATCCAACAGGATATGCCCAAGATGACTGTGAGCGTGGCTGACCATTACCACAAGCACTTCATGGGAAACTCAGAGAAAGCCCAGACCAGAATCTTCCACTGAGTTCTGTGAGGCCACCACTCAGCAGCCTCTATAGAGATCCACATCAAGGTGACCATCAGGGTTTTCCAGGCCTGGTCCTAGATGTTAACTGAGATTGTTCTTGAGACAGGGACCCAGAGTGTGGTGATATTTTATTTGTGCTTTGATAAATAAAGCTTGCCTGGAGATGAGGGGGGGGGGCAACCATTTTAAGTAAACAAAGTCAGGCAGCACAAGCCCTTAATCCTATCACTTATTGGCAGGGTCTCTGCGTGTTCAAGGCCATACTAGGGAACAGAGCCAAGCATGGTGACACATGCTTTAATCCCAGTACCAACCATAGAGACCTGGAGGTCTGTACAGACAGGCAGTGACAAGGAGTGAAGTAGCTGGGCTAAGAGCCAATGAGAGGGCAGAACAGCGAGGCAATAAAGGCGTGAGTAGAGAGGAAGTAGCTCACATTTGGAAGCTGCCGAGTTGGTGAGGTAAGGTTAGCTGTGGCTTTCCATATTTCCCTGATCTCTCTAAGACTTTAACCCATATTTCTGGCTCCATGTTTTTTATTTAATAAGACCACTTAGAAATTCGTCTATACCAGAGTTCCTTAATGAAGGTCCTGTTTTTGAAACAGGGACCCAGAGTTCCTCAATGAAAGTCCATGAGACTAGAACCCAGTACCCTTTGGACATTTTGAAAGTAGAAGTCTCCAGAAAACATTACATAGACCTGGCAGCCCTGGAACTCACTCTGTAGCCCAGGCTGGCCTCGAACTCACAAAGATCTGCCTGCCTCTGCCTCCCTACTGGCATTATAGGGATGCACAACTATGCCCAGCTCAGATACCATTCTTATTTCTTCCTTAAAAGTTGGGGAAGAAAGGAGTTGTTCCCCTTGTGTTAAATGTGAGCAAACATGCACTGAAAAGATTCCACTAAAGAATTACATCTCCACCCTCAAAAAAGAAAATTAAGTGCCAACATATTTAATAGCTCTTTTGTTTCTGGTAATATCTCTGTATGTACTTCAGTTTGTGTATTTTCCATAAACTGGGGAAGAAAAACAAGACAGCAAATGTGTGTATAAATAATCCTGTAGTAACGTGTACACAAGAATAACAGCAAGTAATCAATAGTAACTTAATGATAAGCGGCGCTGGTTACCGCATGGAAAGGTCACAGCCACGACAAAACCCAGTATCAGAG